CTGTAACTGTAACTTTGTGATTCCTATTTGAACTGGTAAAAACTTTTATTAATTAGTATTATTTAACATATTGATGTATATTGTTACTGAGAAAATAAAGATTGTTGTAACTAGTATTACTTTTTTTCGGCAGTAAGTGCCGTTATGGAGTAAAACGAACATGGTTCTATTTATTTAAAAAAGAAGTCATTAACATTATTTTAAAACCAAATTAGGTGTGAAATCGGTAAGTATATATAAATTAGACAAATATTAAAATGTATCACCCTTTTTAACACACACGCCACTGGTTAAGAGTTCCCTAGTAAACAAAGAACTATCTTCATTCTTGTTTAATAGCAGGATATCTCAAGTTGTGGAAAATCAAAACAATTCCTTTGCAATGCATAGGGAATTACTTATCTAGTCATTCTGAGGTCTTTGTATGGTACCTACTTATGCCTATTTTACTTTATGTAGAAACTACATTTGTACCTAAACAATGGTAAGGCCAAATAATTTGCGTATACAGGGTGTTTCATAATGATGTGCAAATATTTTAAGAAGGTGGTTGGAAAGTAATATGGGGGGATACTTCCTATATATTTTGATTTTTATTTGACCCCCCCTCCCTGAGAAAATATTCAAATCTCAAAATGGCCGAAAAAATTTGCTTTTATTTCTTTTTTCACGAAAACAGTTAAACTTAAAAATTTGAATTTTGGTACATGTTAATGACTAGTTGAATGGTATTTTTTGGTAGTCTTTTTCTCTGGTTTATATCTGAATTAATTAAATTAGCACCCCTTGGCTTTATTTCTCTCACAACTTTTTTCTACGTTAGCCAATTTCAACAAGAAAAATAGCTTTTAATATTACATTTCATTTAGAAACTTTTACTTTTTCCATTTTTTCGGATACTTAATGGTTTACGAGCAAAAAAATAAATTATTTTTCCTTGCCGATTAGGTACACATAATTAATTAGTATAATAGTTACCAAAAGCGATCGTCATTTTTGACATGATTTTTGCAAAAATTCTTTTTTTATCAATAGGAAAAGCTATGCAAATATGAACTAAAAATTTAATAAAAAAAAAATTTAAGCTTGATTTTTTCGGCCATTTTGAGTTCGGGGGGGGGGCTCAAATTGAAAAAACGTATTGGAAGTACCCCCCTAAAATTACTTTTTAAGCACCTTAAAATATTTGCACATCATTATAAAATACCCTGTTTACTGTTGAAAAATGGCTTTAAATGAATCTAGAAATTTTTAGTTGCATTTGCAATACATATTACCGAAAAATTGATGTTCGTGAGAAGGATTTTCATTTAGATTTTATAAAAAATAGAAATATTAGTTCGGTTTGTAGACTTCTGCGAACATTAATGCACACCGTACATATATGTTCCAAAGAAGCTTTGTGGTTACGCCAACCCCACGTGACGTTCCCAAAATTGTTTAATCCCTTCTTATTCCACACGGCCGACTTTATAGACTATTGAATATAGGATTTTAAAAGGAACTATGACGTTCAAGATATTTTATTACATGAATCGTTCAAATGGTCATTTTAGATGAAAAAAACGCGGAGTACTATTAAATTAGAGGGTGGAAATTGGAGGTAGGGGTGAAAATACACCCCTTTCAGTTTTTTCGATTTATGCAATAAAATTGCTTGAACGTCATAGTTCCTTTTAACCCTGTTTTTTTNGAAACTTTCAATGTTAATAGTGAAATAATTAAAATAATTTAGAAATGTCTAAAACAAGGGTTTATTTAGAATAAAAAATTGTAATGAATTGTAAAATAGTAAACATTAGTAAAAAATATGCCTTATTGACAATAACTACTAAAAATGTCAACCTCTAACTTCAATCAGTGGCGGCTCGTGTCATTCACAATAGGTGAAGTATATTAATTGATTGACTAAAAAGAAAAAAAAAAAAGCGCCGCAGGCAAAATTTTTCAAATTCAAACAAAGAATCGTTGTAACCGTGTACTGGGCAATGGCGACGTATCGTATAAACAATTTAAACGCAGGCGATGGGCGATGGCGATGCTGCTTCAATTTCCACGTCACTCGTCCCCCATGCCGTAGTTTACTCACGTGATGGCCGCCTCGCTGCCATGACAACCGCCGTAAACAACGTTATGAAGTGAAGCGGAATACAAACTGATTTTGATCCGCGTCACTTATGTTGTTGCTGTACGAGGCTGATGTTCGCGCTCAACAAAGACAATGTTTTTTTAGAAGGCGTTCACCGCGAAATTATTCTGTTTATTTCTGCGTATAAAACAAACAAACACAATACATTTTCAATATAGAATTATACGTAAATTATAAAATTTATATAAAATTAAAAATAATTTTAAATTGCACAACTAAACGGAAATTTTAGGTGAAGTGGTGCATCACTTGCGTCACCTGATGAGCTGCTACTGCAATCAAGGATAATTTTTTACGAATATAGTTTTGTATTTTATATTTTCTAATTGTCTACTTTTTTCAGCGCGAGGTTTTTGATTATTTTATTAAATTTCTCATAGATGGCAAAACACCCAATAAATAAAGAAAAAAACGAAACTTTATACCAAAAATAAGTAACTTCAGACAAAAATATAATTTAATAAAAGATACACCAAAGCAGAATTTATAACAATATATTACATCTTGTATAATAAAAAGTACTAGGAATATAATAAAATGATAAAATAAAATATCCTGAAGAGAATATTGCAAAATATTGTGATATCATAATTTTAATTAAAGAATATTTGAATTAACTAATATTTTATACATAATTTATATGGTTAGTTTATAAAAAAGAACTAGTTGAATGAACTAAATGAACTAGATTGATCTTTGATCTGACAACTGAAAATATATTCTATATTTATTTTACAATAAATAAAAATTTAAGTTTTGCATCTTATTTCAACGATGAAGTGGGGTGGAAGATGCTACTATATTTCAATTCATAATTTATAACGTATCACATATTTGGTTAGGTATGAAGTATATTATAATGCATATTGTAATCCTAAACCATTATTAATATTTCTTTTTCAATTCGTTGAACCTCCTGGTTAAATCGTCGAAATCTATATCATCTTGCTTATCGTCATCCGGTATAGAACTGGGCACCGAAGGCAGTTCCGGAAGATCGTAAGTTTTGTCATTCATTTTCAAACGAGGAGCTGGCTTGGGCTTATCATCGGAATTCTGTAACGAAGTGCATTAGTATGTATCCTACTACTGGCACAAGTAAAAACAAGTGTTAATGCAGCGATAGAAGACATAACACATGGACACAACTTTTTAAATTACAAACAAAGTAACGGCCTGTAAAAATCAAACACTTTATGAACGAAAATGATTGCATTTGAATAAATAGTACCTCTGTTTATAGAATGCAGAATGATCTATAACTTCATCAAAATTATACTAATTATACAGGGTGTCCAATATTTCATGTACAAGAGATAATCACTGATTTTGTTTAGGATCTAAAATGCATTAAAGATGCAACTAATTTTTGCTTTGTCCATTTTAAATGAAAATTGTTACGCCAATACTTATGTATTAATGTAATTTCTCGTTATACATGTCTTTAGTTGGAGTTTTCCTTTTAATACGAGGATTGCTTTTTATATTTCGAGATAGAAAACAAAAAAAGAAATTAATCATGGTATATGACTTTTTTGTTTTTCTGTTCTCCATGAAGATTTTTGCATGCGCTCGAAACAATTTTCAAAGAACTTTTTCCATTCCGATTGAGGTACCTTCAAAACATGCATTCTGAACACATCAACTGCTTCTTCAAGCATCGAAAAAGATTGATCTCATAATTTGTTATTGATGTGAGGGAATAAAAAAAAGGCACTGGGTGCAAAATCAGGGCTGTATGGCAGATGACTCATCAATTCGACTCTTCAGTTCCCAAAAGTCTCTTGTTTGAGCCGATGTGTGAGACCTAGCATTATCCTGGTGAAGAATGATACGTCTTCGAGGTTGGGTTCCCTTATTTTTCCAAAGACTTCTGGTAAACAATTGGTTGTGTACCATATTTATAACTGACCATTCGATGTTGCACTAATGGTACAGTTCCAACTTTTGTTGGATTTTGCTCATCTTGAAAGACCTATACAGTGGACAGCTGCTTATTTGCGTGCTCATCCATGATTCGTTATCTGTTATGATGTCAGACGTGTTTTGAAGCACCGCAATTGTATTTCTTCTAACCAATCGACACGAGCATTTATCAAATTATGTACGATCCAACGGAAACAGATGTATGGCGGTCCCACTAATGCCTCCATCGATAAGCTACATGACGATCTTGCAATATCAGTTGTCTTCTGGAATAACCGATTTTGTACAACTTTCACTAAATTCGTCAGTGAGCAAATCACGACTACGATTGAATTCAATATACGACCGATATAGTGGTGTTTCATGGTGCTTCATCGCCAAATTTTGAATTAAGTTCATCATTGCACTGTTGTTGAGATGATCGATGTCGAAAGTTGTAAAAAATAATAACACGGAAATGTTGATGACTTAATTCCTTTTTTTGGCCGAGATGAATTTTTCGAGTCACTGTAAACAACACAAATAGTGCCTGTACGTCAAAAGTTCTGAGGAAGTATATTGACAAAAAGTTGAACTTCATTTCCCAAAAAATCTGCCCTTATATTCATAATTAACATAGATATGAATTTTTGAAAAAAAGGTCTGTTTTAGGCGTTTTTTCGGGTTTTCTAGGCAAAAAATGATCGGATCGGGGTTTTCCAAAAACCATTTTCTAAGTTTTTGCATTCTCTACAAACGGTCTCTTATGAGGAAGGCAATTTATCCAGTAGGTTTTATTGTATATGCAAAAAACTAAAAAAAGTGCCTTTTTTTAAATAATTATTGTTAAACAAATTGTCCTTGTCAAAAAATTGTATGGTTTTTCGTTTTTAATAATCTATATGTTACCCCCGAAGTCGTAATGCAAATGGATATCTCTTAAATTTTATAACATGAAAAAATCTATGACTGCACTAATGGTATTAATATTACGAGGATTGGGTTCCACCTTCATTTTAAATGTTAACTAATTAAATAATAAGTGAATAGGCCATGTAATGGACCAATATCATGAACTCCAAGTTTGCGAATCTATAATCTATGTAAATGTTACCTACAGGGTTATTAAAAAAAATTTATGTAAAGGACTGAAGTGAACCCAGTGGAGAAACTAATCCAATAAAATATAAAATAGTGTCGAAATAATTTGGGGAAAATGTCGTGGATACCCCAAATGATAGCTTGTGTGAACAAATCCAGTGTTGATAATTTTAAACATCTTCAGGTAAATCTAGACTTTCTAAATTAAGATTTTGGTTTTATATTTTTGTTATATTTAAGGTTTTGAAAAAATGTTGTTTTGAAAATTTGCTTACTCTAAGTTAAAAAACGCCCTGTCCAACCAAAGTAATTGAATTTGCATAAAAATACTCTTACCAATGAACAAATATGCTCCATTTTTTTTGCTGGTGATCTTGTAACTTCAATTATTGTCTTATTACAGAATTAAGGGATTACAAAAAACTACTATTTTTGCTGGATGAAAAAATACCTAAAGTTGTAAGTCAACCACAAAAAAACATAAGGATTATTTTTTCCATTCTGCAAATGCAATTACTTCGGTTATTATGTCAACAAATGACACTACATCTCAATCGAAACCTTTTAGATTTGGAAAACATTTTTTTTTTTTCATAAATCTGACGCATCTAATGGAGCAAGAAATATTGGGACACCCTGAATTAAAAAAAATTCACCAAAAGAAAAACATGAAAATTTCTATAACTTTACAATCTGATAAATAAATATTTTACATTTGTCTGAAAAATAAATTACTGGCACTTATCAAACATTATCAGATATGTGTCACCATCATAATCAAAAAATGTATAAGCATTAATTTATGACAATGATAAATTAGTATAACATGTGAAGCTGTTTTATAATTATATTCAATCGTACCTCTACATTGACACCAAAGTTGTTCCCTTTTTTATCACCCTAAAATTAATAATTGCAATTAAAGTCTAGAACCACATGCAAATAAGCAGCATTCAATAAAAAGTGCTAACAATTCTTTGAAAAAGAAAAATATGTAAGCATTTATGATTTTTACCTCTTCATTTTTGTCAGTGTCCTGTGGCAATGATTCATTATTTGAATCCTAAAATGTGACATTTTACTAAATTTATTAGAAATTAAAATTATTTTATAGAAACAGGTATTTTTGTGAGAGACATCAGAGCTTTGATTTTATTGATTTTTTCGATTACTTGGATTGTTTAAGTTATAATAATACATTGTCAACGTTTAAAATTATATACCAAATAAAACAAAAAAAGTAACTAAATATACTTTGTTTTAGCTAATTCGTCTTATTTAGTTACAAGCATGAAAGAAAATTTTCTGAGAGATTAATGTCTGTTACGTTATAAATGCTATGCAGTTATTCAAATAGAATATAATACTATAATAAAGCAAAGGAAGAATATCCGATACCAATATTTTGAAAAATAATTTAAAACTAAAATAATTACCTGGAAATTAGCATCAGGATATAGGTTGTGATAAGTTGGTAAATTATGATCCTAAAAGAAATAAAAAACACTAAAAACTAAGGAAACCAAGCAATCTTGTTAGTCTAAAAAGAAAATAATATACAATGTTTCTAATGTCTCCATTCAATAACCAATGCCAATATATCAACAAAATTTTATTTACCGAATAATCTGTATTGGATTCCTTTTTCTCATCCCCTAGACCTGGTGGAATGTTGTATGAAAAACTTGGTGGTGGGGCTGAAGGACCACCAAAATCTTTATTGGGTGGCTATAACAAATTTATCAATCTCGTTGAATACGATGCAATAAATAAAAACTTACAGTATACCCGAATGGTCCTGGTACATCAGGATCCATTAAATGTGGCAATGGGGGTGGTTGTGGATACCCAAGAAAACCAGGTGGTTGGGGCATACCACCACCTCCTCCAAGATCATTCGAATTAGAAAGATCTATCAACAATGCATCTTTTCCTAAAAATTATAAAAATACATTTTGAAATTGAAACCATGTAATATAATTTTGTCAAAAATTAATAATTTACCCTTATCCATTTCCATAACTTGCGGATCAGGTTCATATGGTATATTATAGGATTTAGCGATTTCAATGACATATTTTTCTACTAACAATTTTGGTGGACTCTGTATAGACATTTTATGCTTCAATTTAGGACTTATTGCTTCAATTGATTCCACTCTGCAGGCTTCTGCAAAACTTGGTCCATATTTTGCTGATAGTAAATCACTTATAACTTTCAATTCCTATAATACACAGTTTAATTAATTTACAGTTAAAACAATACCTAGAACAATCTTTACAGCTATTTAACAAAAATTTCATTTCCTCTATAGACCCATGTTAAAAAATATTTGTAATTCAATGAAACAAACAATTTTAGTTTAAGGGAATAGTCCAGATAACCTTGAACTTGTAAATTATCGATTCAATTAAATTAAAACTACTGACCTGAATATCGCTCTGTAATCGAGGAGCGACCCATATTAAACTGGAAACAGCTTCCGAAATACCTTCATCTAGTTCTTTCATATTGCTAATAAGACCAAAACGAGCCAGTAATAAATCGCAATACATCTCGACAATCTCTAAAGCTTCAACTAAGTAATCTTCCCTAGAAATAAAATAATTTTACTATGGCAAAAATTTCAGTGAATTGTATATTTACCTAATAATATATTCGACTCTAACTTTTGCCCTTTCATATTTTCCACCAGAAATATAGTCTGCAATTTCCCTTCTCGACTTTTCAGTTAATTCTGTTTTCTTCTTCTGTAACAGTTTTAGTCTAGAAATTGCCAAACGTAAATTGGTTTTTAACTTTGTGTAATTAGGAGAACTAGAAAACATTTTCGCTGCTCTTATGATTTCACTACTAAAAATATTTTTTGAATACAATTATGAATGAATCATCGACAGCTAAACAAATAAAATGTCTAAAACCTAAAACAACTCATGATATAGTTATAAACATAGATAAAGTTATAAATGTCTCGTATTATTGCTGAACTACGTCACCGCCATCTCTTATTGACATAAAGAGACAAATCGGGGAGTAAATTTATATTATTTAGAAATAAATTTTGTAAAAATGATTTGTTTTATATTGTCTTCTACAAACTGTTAGTTTATTAATATACCTACTTATAAATAATATATACATAAGAGTTCCTACTAATATATTCCTACTCCTACTACAATTCTCCTGGACTAAAAGTTAGAAATCAGAAAAGTCTATAACCTGTGGTCTAAAAAACGTCAATGGTCAAATTTGTTTTGTGTTTTGTGGTAGTCCTGTGTCCTGTGGCAAGACAAGTGGCAAGTGGCACAGACCACCACTAGTAGAAACTAAAATGGATTTTTAGCGAGATACCATTTTACCAGCGGTTAATAGAATTCAGTAACCAGTGCATTATAACGTCAAAGCGTTTATAAGTTGTAGAGGGGCCTCGTACCGTATTTATGACTTTTTTATTCCATTACTTAAAATAAAACACTAAAACAGTAACAATCCTAATATGTTACTGGTTTTTATTGACTTTACTTAAGTATTATTACTAAAATAAATTAAATTTTTATTTCCATCATTGTTATCAGTTATTATGAATGAAATTTATTGATGATTTGCATTTAAGGGAATATCGATAAATAAATTAAATTAAAATTCCAGTCTTAAATATAGAAATAGTACTGAATCATGAATTAGTATTTATTTAATAAGTAAATAAGTCCTTCATGTTCCTTTATCATAAGAATAATAAAGTTCAAGTTTTTACATCACTGCCTATGCTATATTTACAAAAATTTGAAAATAAAAAATAAGAGAAGCCTCCGGAAACAAATGCATTTTGTAAATTTCTCAAAAAAAACTACATATTTTATTTTTTTCCCATACAAAACCTCCACTACTGCATTGATTTTATAAGCTACGCTATCAGATAAGTCTTGCTTGCCTACAAAATTTTTTATTGCTCTAAAACATTGTAACAATTTAAGTAACAATTGTTACTTAGAGGCTAATTAATTAGCCTCTCTTTGAGGAATGCCTTCTTAGATCTGATGATATTGATCGCACTGCCACCTGGTCGCGGACGGCCTAACTTCCCCTGAAATTGTGGGCAATGTCCAAAGATGTCAGCAACTAGACGAATCTTCTTATCTAATATAGAATATATCTAATGACTAAACGTTAAAAATAAACATTTTAGCACGAACATAGCATTTGTCATTATTCCCTATTACATATAATACTTATTACACTATTATAATAGTTTAAGTAACAATTTTACTCTTTTTAAGATAAGTTTTCTTAGATCGGACGACGTTGATTGCGCTGCCCCCTAACTGCGTATGTCCTAACTTCCCCTGAAATTGTGGGCAATGTCAACAATTAGATAAAAAGTTTACAGTTTACTTTTCTAACACAAAAATCAAACTCGGCGTTTTTATTTTCCCAATATTTAGATAAATAAATAACTTAAATAAAATGTAATTCATTATTATTATGGTATATATCTATAGCCGGGATGACCAGTAGCTCCAGTGTTATAAATGATATAAGTGGTACCAGCAACATCTTCTAGTGTTAATCCCTTCAAAGGAATTCTTGCAGTTGTTACATAAATTTTGTCCAAATTTTTACCTCCAAACGTGATAGACGTTACCTGTAAATTAATGCACACGCATATAATATAAATGAAATAAAGTGTAATTATAATTTTGATAACAAAGAAAAGTTTATATTGCATGATATCAATGAAATATGGATTACTTAGGTTCCTTAGATTATAATAATACATACTGAAATTACCTAATGAATTAAGATAAAAAGTATAGTTATTTATTGCACATAATAAAGTTATAAAATAAATTCGAATTAGTTTCCCAAATAACGCAAACCTGTCTTAAAGATATCATACCCGTATGCCCCAGAGATGTACCTACGCTTTTGGTTTTGTTCAAACATATGACCTTAGAGGGACATATTAAGTTATACAAATCAGTATATCCTCCAGATATCCCATCATATGTACCAGAGACATAGGTACGATTTGGATATACTCTGTCCTTAGGACAACCTAAGGATGCCTGAATTCCTGAATATTCTGGCAGATATACATTATTTTCCAAGCATGTGAGGGATATCTTACGTTGAAGATCAGGATATCCTTAAGATATCCCACCGTATGTCCCAGGCGTTATCATCTAGGACTTCAAAATAGTCTAGGATATCCTCTGGACAAACGGGTGACATATTTTTTTTGCCAGTACAGTAGCTATCAAATTTATTTAAATAAACAGAGACAACAAACGAACTCACTAAAGTCACTGTTACTGGAAATAAAAATATACACAATGGTCTGGATGAACCAATATGGCGACTATTATGTGTTCATTCACCACCACTATTTCACAGTGTGGCGCTTGCGCAGTAAACGTTGTACAAATGGAAGATAACCGCCGTAAACAGGACTTTAAAGGAATACCCTGAGCACAGAACACCCTGTGTTCTGTGACCCTGAGGATAACTTGTGCTATTTAGGTTAATACCTTTCAAAGTTAAGTAGGTATGTAAAACTAATTTTTTACCTCCTTTGTGGGCATTTTAATTTTCCTCAAAATTTTTCCATCTTTAGGGTCAAATTTGATAATGCTGGACCCAAATATGCAACACACCCACAAAGCACCATTTGAATCAATGGTTAAACCGTCGGGTAATCCTTCGATCTTATTTTGTTTAAAATCGAAAATCTTCGTTTTATTACCTACAAAAATCAAGAACAAAATATGTCAAAATAAAGATCTAAAGTAATATTTGGAAAAGTATTTGTATCTGTAGAAATATTAATAACAATTTCCAAATTTTAGACTCGGAAATCTTACAAGATATGAAGAGTATCGCTTATTCACTAAATTAGACAACTTTGACTATTTAACAATTTCTATTCCTCGATGGTAGTTTCCGAGATAGTACTTTGCAATTTGAAACAATGTAATTCCATCAAACCTACTTAGTGTTCCTTGGCTTGAATAGTCGTATTGAAATACAGCAGGGACAAGTGTATCTACGTAATACATTTTCATTTCTTTCTCATTCCAGGCAAGGCCATTCGAGCACCCTATGCCAGATTCGTGTTTTTTGATAACTCCTTTTTGAAGACTGTAAAGTGATCCTTTGCCTGGTGTTATATTTCCTTCGGAATCAGTGGGACCCATCGAACCTTACAGATAATTATATATATATTTTATAACAGCAATGATGCATTGTGTAGTTATTTCCTGACTCTTTGCATGGGTAAATTTTAATTTTTCGAAAATCAGTTAGGTCGGCAAATTAGGCAAGATATTACAGACAATTCATTGCCATTTTGAAAATTGAAGTACTTAAGTCTTTGACTTCTGATATTTCAAAAAAATTGTAAAAGTTCAAGGTTATCGATTTCAGTCGCCGTACCATGTTACAGAATACCACCGCAGAAATTTCTGCGCCTGTAACGAAGATACCATACAAGTTCTTATCGTTTTCAAACCAGGTAGTCTAAAGAGTCCTCACAAAAGAAACTCTTACAGCTCCCAAACCAGATTGTCACAGGAGACCTCATAAATAGTGCTTACACAGTGATAATAAACACCAGAGTACATACTCGCAGTATCAAATAAACAGCCCTCCAAAACAGTGACATCCTGAGGGTGGATCTTACCTTACCCCTAAGCAAAACATCCCTCCATTGATGATGGAAGAGAAACAAGCGCGACGTACTCTTACTGAAGCGTCTTTTGAGATTGGCGTGAAGAGGGAGACCTCCGAACAGCCCATTCGTCTTTTTGCCGTCGGTCAATCAAGTCCACCTTAATCCGCGATATGGTGCCCAACGTGGAACCAGAATGTTCGAAACGCCAATGGATAATTCGCGACAAACTATTAGAAATAATAAAAATAATTAAAGGTCTTGATTTCATGGCACGTTTGTGCATTGCGCGCGAAAGCCAAAACTGTATCCAAAACTAAAACAGATATCCATGCAAAGGACACAGGAAATGACCACCGTACATGTATGTACCTGCCCAGAGTCTTCCGTAAGGATCAATTTTAGCACCATTAAGCCTGTTGTCTTTTAAATTTGCTTCCTTTTCTATTTCTACAATCGTTTGCACATTGGAAACTTGCGGGCTAGTGCCATCCCATTCTACGAATATAAGTTTTCTTCCAAGGCCCGCTACAAATTTAGTGTTTGACCCCTCCACAGGAAACATAAACGCCAACGGTTCATCTCCTGCAAAAAATATTAATTTCAGAAACGAACAAGACTTGTCCGAGGATAAACGTATTTTAAAAATGATAGTGCCTAGATTTAATAAAACAAACACAATAATTGACATAGAGTTATTGTTATTATAACGAGCGTTCAAATAAAAACGTGGTCAAGTTGGTTCTGAAATTTTGGACGTAGGGCGTAGCGTACAGCAAATGAACTTAAACGTCATCTGTCAAAGCGCTACATCGCCGCTATCAATTTGAATATTTTCGTTTTAAAAAGCGTTTAAAATGGTGTTTTCTCAAGAACAAAATGTGTTTATCATAGAGTCTTACTTTAGAAATGGACGCAAGATTGATGGAATATGGAAGTATTCTATTGAGGAATGTTTCATAGAATTTCAAAATCAATTTCCCAGCGTTGTTGAGTACAAAATTTTTCAAAGTGCAGTTCAGCGTTGTGTTAATGTTTTTCGTGAAACGGGCAGTGTAATAAGAAAAGAAGGAAGCGGCCGGCCTAAAAAGCGGACTGAAGAATTAAAAGAAAATGTCCAACAAATAATGGAAAATGCGTCAAGTACTTCTGTACGTGTTTTATCACAAATGGTGGGAGTATCAGTCGGTACCTGCCACACAGTGTTAAAAAAAGATTTGCGTTTGTTCTCCTATCGTTTAACTTGATCAGCAAGAACTTCATGAAGTTGATTTTCCGCGACGGGCTGTATTTTGTGAATGGTTTTTGAAACAACTACGGTGAACTTCATAATATCACATTTTTTTCTGAAGAAGCCTGGTTTCATTTAAGTGGTTACGTACACTCACAGAATATGAGAATGTGGTCTTCTGAAAAACCAGATAACTTTTTTGTCGAGGGCCCTCTACACGCTCAAAAAATTGGAGTTTGGTGTGCTCTCAATCGAAGGAGGATTTATAGACCTATTTTTTTTAATGGTACTCTGACTGCGCAAAGGTATAGAGAAGAAATTATCGCTCCACATACGGCAGGCGAGACGATGAATATGTTGAGGGAAGTTTTCCAAAATCGACTAATAAGTCTCAATGCTGAACATGAATTTCCACCTCTGTCATGTGATATTACGCCGTGTGATTTCTTTTTGTGGCCTTACCTTAAAAACACTATTTTTGAACTGCCTATTCCTGATTTAAACCATCTGCAGGCTCGACTTATAGACAAGATTCGTGAAATTAACAATACCCCGAGCATCTTAGAAAATATCTTTAATTCTTTGAGGAACAGGTGTGAAAAGTGCTTGGAACAAGGAGGGGGACACTTTCAGCAGCTGCTTTAATTTATTGTTATAACAAGGAGGGGGGCACTTTCCGCAGCTCCTTTAATTGTTTGTTATTGTTATCACGATTATTCTTTAAAATAAAGTTATATAGTCATTAACGTTATTGAAACTGACAGCTGCTATACAGCTCGTTGAGAAATGAGGTTTAGTTGGTCGCTATAAGCTACTCCCTACGTCCAAAGTGTCAGAGCCAACTTCGACCACGTTTTTATTTGAACGCTCGTTATATGTTATAATTGAAAGTAATAGTTTTTTAAGTATATCTACGTCCTGTTTTTTACAGGTTTAGATAAGCTATATAATCTTTTTGTTTGTATTAGTCATACTATTGTAATCTAATCAGCAAAATTGCAGGTAAATTTGGAATTATTAACTTCAGCATACACGGAAATATTTATCATATACTCCATTACGTAAATTCCTAAAGTTGCAAAATTTTTATACTTACTCTAATTTTCTTCAGGTCTACATAAAAAATACTTATAAAAAATGACTACTTTGACGTATTGCTTTATAATCCAGATTATGCCACCTGTATGTATGATATGTGACATTCCAGTAATAAAGTTTTAAATATGAGATTGGATTGGTTAGTACCAAATAAACAGCATGAGTTTGATATACACAAACCTTACTTGTTTCTTTAAAAACTAGAAAGTAGACCGGAGTTTAGATACATTTCAATTAAATTAAACTGTCTCTTGTAAGTCATTAATTTTTTTACTTGATATCATTGAAATGTCCTTACTATTTGTTGTCTTAATTTTAACTTTGGTGTATGACGCTCAATGCATTCAAAATTATTAAAAAATATATTTGGCCATTGACATATTAAAATACATTATACAACACAGCATACAGTCTTCATAAATGATTATGAGTCACGTGACCACCGAGCTTAGACAAGCAACATTGCACAGCTGGTAATGTCGACTAAAAATCCGTAAATCTTATCGTCCCCAGTATTAATAATTCGTTTGCTATGGACAATGATAAACCATTACGACTACGACCGAGATAATGCGATCACTGATTGATTGAAAAAAATCTCATGAAAAATTACATCAATTACTTGCAGGTGAAACAGAATGTTGTGTTTTAATGTAATTTTGATCTTATTATTTAATAATTTTTAATTTTACCAAAGTTTGTATTCAGTTTCTCTTCGTAGCGTTGTTTACGGCAATTGTCATGGCAACGAGGCGGCCTACACGTGAGTAAACTACGTCATGGGGCAACGACTGACGCGGAAATTGAAGCAGCATCGTCATCGCACATCGACTGCCTTTAAACAGTTGCGATACGTCGCCCAGTGCACGATTATAACGGTTCTTTGCTAATATATGTTTTGTATCAATACTTGTAGAAATGTTTCCTATATATGATCCAGTATGCCATTTTCCAGATGGAACATTGAGGACAAAAAGGATTTTTTAAATTGCGAGGTGTGGAAAAAAGGGGGAAGTTAAAAGACAAAGTGTACGTTCGGAAGTTTCAGAATGAATGGTATTCGTAGTATAAGTGGTTGTGTGGAAGTGTTTAGGTACTTAAAATTTTTTTTCTGTATACCGTGTTAATTGTGGGTGTAAAGTCTTGCTTAACATCTGTATCTGCACCTATCATTAAGTCCATGAGCCGAACTAATATTTCTAATTTTTATAAAATCTAAATGAAAATCTCGCGAAAATTTTTCGGTAATATTACAAATGCAACTAAAAATTTCTAGATTCATTTAAAGCCGTTTGACCTTGAAAATTTGAAAATTTTTGCCTGCCGCGCTTTTTTTCCTTTTTAGTCAATCAATGAATATGCTTCACCTATTCTCAATGTCACGAGCCGCCACTGGTCTTTGGGTACGAAATTTTTGTTCTATAAGCGCCCAAAGTAGGTAATATTCGTAAAAAATACAATTTCTATATTTATTGAGCACGATTGCCAAACTGTAAAATTTTAAAATACGTCTCTATCTTTACACACAGCTGGCCAGTAGTAGTAGACCAGGCAAGTTAGACACTTTGGGGCTGGATCGAAACTGCATTGCGGGTGCATAAACTGCATCTTGGGGTGCATTAATTTTTCCGAATTTTCTAAAAATGGTAAAAATTGACTAAAAGAAATTTGTGTGCACGGGTTTTCGGGGTCAGAGATTCCGAATCTGATCCTGAAAAATATGCCCGACGGTTAGGAAATTCCTGTGATTGTGAAAGCCCCAGGGGGTCGGGCATACTTTTCAGTGTCAGAGTCGGAATCCCCGATCCCAAAAACCCCCGAGTGGGGATTAAGAAGGCAATTAGTAATTACTCAGCTATTCGATGTTTTACTGCGAGGCCCCAGGGCTGTCAGGCATATTTTTCAGGGTCAGATTCGGAATATCCGACCCCGAAAACCCGTGCACACAAATTTCTACAACGTTTTAGTCAATTTTTACCATTTTTAGAAAATTTGGAAAAATTTCTCCAAGATGCAGTTTATGCACCCGCAAAGTCCCAAAGTGTAATAGATAGACTTTTTCCCTGATATTTTTCCGAAGACAATGACGAAAACCGCAACTCGATCGGTTCATCAGAAAAAAAATTTCCGTATTCTGGGTGATTTTGGTCTAACTTGCCACACATATACATGGGACAAAAAAAATGTTGTTACACTTTGGATAAGACTTACCCACTTTAGCTTGAGTAGTTTCTCCGGTGTTAACATCATATTTAAAAACCAGAGAATTTGGCACATCTACGTAGTACACGCTTTGCGTGTCTTCGTCCCAATGTATCCTAGTTCCCACGTTCAATGGTTTGCTTATTGGTAATATCTCCATTTTCGACATACTGTGTTGTTATATGAAATAACACTTGATCGTTAAACCAATAACTTTGTTCTATATTTGCTCTAAATTGCAGGCTATTATATGATCCATTATCTATATCGTGGATAATAAAAAGGATTTCGTTTCGAAACAGTGTTGACCCCAGATTAGATTACGAAATCTCAAACACAAAATCAAAATTTGTGTTGAATTCCTTTCCTTGAATAGTAAAAGTAGAATTAGTAAAGTTCATGTTCAAAATTTAAAAAACGGTGTGTAAGGTCCAGTCCATTCTGATTGAACAGGCTGCAATTTCGTAGAGGTGATTTTAGATGAATTTTTGAATGCTTCTATACAGATAGATGAGGTCAAAATAATATCAGTTCTTCATATAAATTTTTTCTACACGGGCCTTCGTTAACATGTTACGGGCCCCCAAAGTTGAAAATTAAAATCTTATTTTTATTTATAGTCTTTAAAGTATTAACTTCAGCATGATGCAAATTTGGTGATCCATTACACATGCGTACAGCTTGTTTTTGATGTAGTAAGTGAAACTTTATTATGCCCAGAACGCCAGGGACGGACTATGCCCAATGGTTACCAACACATCATTTTTGCATAGATGACGATCGCAATCTGCCTGTATCAAAAATAAGTTCCCTGAAGAATTTGCCATCGATAATACCCTCTTGGTTCGACTCGGTAAAATTAACAGATAAATTTATTACCTTGTTTTTGAATGAAAATGAAAGTAATTAAAACTTAATAAATTATAACTAAAAATGGGACATGAAAATAGTACAAGTTCTCATTTTTTACAGGGCCTTACCACTATCTTTGTAGAATTAATTGAACCGCCTACCCATGTCTCTTTCACTGGTAGTAATACTTTATATTAAGACATATTTTAGCTGTTTTCCTTTTACAAATTTTTATCTTGGTTAAATTTCAGATTTTTTACATAATCTTAGCTGGACTAATTTGACAAAAGGAACATGGTGTTTCGTTCTTCTGTCAAATTTCATCAGATCATAACAATGCATAACCCCCAATTTCTATTTCATGAATCTCGTAAACTCACGTTAATCGACAGTCGTACTCAACAGGATATAGAGATGTTTTAAAATTTTATGAGCTTTGACCTTCATATGCGCAGAAACATAATTCCGACCGTCGCCTAAATTATTCGACGTCCTAAAAACATTACACCTATTATTCACAGTCTCTCTCGAGCTCTAGCGTAAACAAGCCTTTGATCCGATTACAAATATCATAATAAAATGCCCTATTCTTTATTATTTTAATTTAAACAATAAAAATATATATAACGAACGTTCGCCAGTTGACTTTATTGATGCCCGAGCGCCTTAGTTCATTTCTACTTGTAAGGATGCACATGGTCTAGTTCTGAGTCAATGTTTTCACAACGTGCTTATTAGAAGAATTATGGGGATACGCCACGCCTTTCGCGCATTTCGCGGCTCATGAGATATTAAAAGACCTCTACCAAGCATTTCGTGTGCATAATATAAGTCATCTGTCAAAGCAAAATGTAAAATTGCTTTAAATATTTTAATGTTTTTCTTACTTTCAAGTCTACGGGCTATATATTTACATTTATGGTATAATTTTTGTTCCGGGATCTATTAGGCTTACTAACACCAAATTCCAAATAAATCTATTATTTGTTTTCTAAAATAAACTATGTCTGTATGACCTTGAATTTTTAAGAACTAAGACAAAATTCTTAATACGGTAGACTTGGCGTAGGTAAAATGGGTAAATAACTTAGTTAATCTTAAAATAAGAAAATAAAAGGAATCGTGTATTAAGTAAGATTATGTTAGATTAGCAAAGATTTGCTGTAAAAGAAAAACGGCTATTGTAACAAACTATCTAATCATAGGTCACACCACTACTTAAATATCTCTGTTTGCTTTCAAGATATTAAAAAATATCATTATTGTTATGGAATTCTATACATTTTTTAAATTATTTTGACCAGAGCCTCAACCTCAAGGTTTGTCGCGTTAATCCTGAAACATCCTGTATAGTCCTATTCATTACTACAACTTGTTCTTAAGTTTATTAAAATTTTATTTAAAAAAATATATAAATATAAGTAAAACAATAAATATACAAAAATTGGTAAAATATGTTACTTTTGAAAACTATAATATAGCATACATTTATTATACATAATTTTTCAAGTTCTGTGCAGTTTACACCGAGGAAAATATAAACAGGTTTCATTTTCTTTTTTCTAAACTTCTCCTTTTGCGGCCTAAACCCCCATCGATTAGTATGCGTGTTTTATTTTTCGCACTCTTCAGCTGACAACATGACAAGAGCAAAGCAGCAATGAATATCATCTTAAAGAACGTGACCTGAAGAGAACAAAATTGCTAAATAGATTTATAGTGAGTGGACATTTTAAAACGAAAAGTTCATATGAATTTATGTCCTAAACGTCGTTTTCGCGTTAGACACAATTAAAAAAAATCTAAGTAAGTCTAAGCTTAGAAAAATATTTGTATGAATTTTAATACCATCTTGTATTATTATAACATAATTTAAGGATTCTACGAGTCTGTTTTTATGGAAGGATTTTCAGGATAATACAAGTGATCAAAATTTAAAAATGTAAAAAGTAATAACATGTTTAAAAGTATATTTCTGTTAATTACTTACTATATTCATTTTATTTAATAATGCACCTCAACGTTTAAACTGACACATCGGAAATAAATACTAAAAATAAATAAATCTATTTGTTTACCTACAGTTAAAAATTATGAAAATGCGAAGGTAAACATCATTCTTATACCAACTTTACCTTATAACTTGTTTGACTACATCTTGCTCATTTTTTATTTCCTGTACTACCTATAGGTTCGCTTCATGTTTATATTTCCTTAGGAACAGAATGAGATAAAATAGATTTTTGATAATAATAAGGCTTATAGATTAGATATTCCAAGTAGTTACTTATCACCGCATTAACGTAATCGCAACGATCAAAGAGACAATAACTGGTCACCAATGCAAATTATTACGTTTCATTCACAAAACTACGGACTATTTTTCTGATGGCTAAGTAGCTCCAGTAACTGATTTCGTCACTATTTTTAAAATTGGTGACAAAAAAGAAGCTGCTAATTCACAAAATAGTGAATGTTCCTTTTTGAGAAGTCAACAATGTGCGTCGTTCTTTTTTAACACTAATTTAACGTCATCTGGGTTCACACTAATCATGGCATTGTCTTCATGAATAGTAGGTACTTTTAAGGCCGTTTTGAGTATACATTTTCAAACGCATTACAGTTTTCTTAAACTTTTCAGGCGCTCGTAGAAATCGGACTTTCATAAAGAAAACTTTATTCGCATTAAAATACATAACAATAACAAAAAAGAATGTATGAGTGACATTTATTTTGATTTACATTACCGTTTGGATAAAACATACCTATATTTGCTGTAAAACTCAGAAAAGTTAAAATAATTTATTTTTTCTGTAACGGGTAAAAAGTTTGACATTTTATCTCTGTTAACAGGTAACAAAATGTCACTTTTTATGAAATTGCTTTTTCCCCGGGAAAAAAGTGAGTACTTCTTTCCCGGATATATACAATATACATAAGTAAAGGTAGATATTTAAAATAATTTTTGTGACGCTACTTTCGCTGTTTCTACTAACTCCGGTGGAGTCAGAGAAAACTCGGAATCAGACATTTTTTAACTTTATATTATTCAAAATAACTACTAAACAACCACTAAGTTTGTAATTTTTAAATCAAATCACAGAATTAAATTGACAGATAATTGATTACTTTAAAGGTTTCCTTAGCAACGCAGATGTAATTGTCGCTAATAACAGCCTACCAATTTAAAACTTTAGTGACTAATATACAGTAATAATGTTTTTTCAATATTAAATCGTTGTTTTTCCCGTCACAGAAAAAAATAGTGTATTATACACGGGAAAAAAGTAGATTTTACCTCTCGGTTTTTTGTCTCCCTCCGCTTCGCGTCGGGAGACAACACAACCTCGAGCTAAAATCTAGTACTTTTTTCCCTTGTATAATAAATATCTATTT